ATGTCTCGGACCGCATCCGTGAACATAAGGCAGACCTGAAACACGGTAGGACAAACACCTCAGCCGTGGCAGATCACTGTTACAATTCAGTGGGCTCACATGACATTGACTTCTCCAAGACAGAGGTTCTCTGCAAGCCATCTGGCTATCATGAGAGATTCGTTCATGAGGCGATCCACATATACAAACACAGAGACAATTTCAACCGAGAAGATGGATTCTGGCTTAGCAATCATTGGAAGGACGTAATAAACCATTTCGGATCTTAACTGATTGTGTTCACGTTAACGGTGACTTTCAGACCGCGTTCCACTCACTGGCATGGTGCAGTGTGCAGAGTAATGTATGGTGTCGTAATTGTACAGTAAACATATAGCAGTATGATACACATTAGGGTGGGTAGAATAATACATAGTGTTATATTAAAATGGATAAGGCAGCAACTGCAGCAGCAGCAGCAAGTGCAGCAGCAGCAGCAAGTGCAGTAGCAGCAGCAAGTGCAGCAGCAGCAGCAACTGCAGCAGCAGCAGTAACTGCAAGCAGCAGCAGAAACTGCAGCAGCAGCAGCAACTTCTACAGCAGCAGTAACTGCAGCTCCCTTTGATGCTGTTAATCCTGCATAATGCACATGCATATGCAGTACTAATCACATTCCTGCATTTCCCATAAATATGCTAAATTCCTGTTGATATGCAAATTCCTTTGTCAATGCGCCCAGCTTATATATATGCTCTAAGCCCGTGTGCTGTTTCATTCAGACTCTGTCGCCTCGACGGACCTGGTTTTCACCTGAGGACGGCTGCTTGCGTTGTGGCCGAAACGTCGTGAGAACTGTTTTATTATGTTTTATTTTTATTATTTTATTACTTCCCTTCTACGTGACTTTACCGAAAGAACCAAGAAGATGAATCCCTGCAGTCACGAAAGCTTTAAATCGAAATTTAACCGCCTCTACGGGGAGGGTTTCCACATAACTTTGAGATCCTTCAACAAGCTCCGGGATAAGAAGGCTCAGCTAATCGAGTCGCTCACCTTTCTGAAGAGATGCCGCGACTCTAAGGTAATACCAAACGCATTTACACTAACATCTGCTGCTGTAACTTCTTCTAATGCGAAACGAATTCTGTCTAGAACTAGTTTAGCTCTTATCTCAGAGAAAATCAGACTTACGCGCACCGAACTAGATCAGTTAGACAAGACACTCTACAAATCACACTTATCTTTGAGTGTAACAATGTCCACATCGGATTGGGAACATGTGGAAAAAATGACTGCCTCTTCAGCTGCCGCTATGTCGACTAAATGTAAGGACAACTTGATTTCCAAATTCAACCGCCTCTCAAACAAGAAACCGGACCCACACATTGAAAAGCTAGATGTTAACAAAGTCGTAATTAATCGCAGTAACAGTCCTATTTCTGAAGGTTTGAAATCCGTTTTAGCTAAAGGACTTAACTTTGCAGTCACACCTAGACACATACCAGTTAATGATATAATTGCTCGAGTAGATGTAGCTCTCAAGGGCTTGAGTCACATCGCTGCAGACGTAGCAAGATCTGAAATCTCTGTAACCCTCAAAAACGCTAAGATGCCAGCTAGCAACATTAGCAAAGATGAGCGTTTTGAATTAGCTCAATTAAAAAAGAGGGATGACATTGTCATCCTCTCAGCCGACAAAGGCAATGCCACTGTCATCATGGACAAAATAGAATACAACAACAAAATTCAAGAACTACTCAACGATGGCAGCTATACAAAAATAAAAAGAGACCCCACCAACAGCCTCGTCTCCAAAACCAACAACATCATTTCTGCTTCAACCGCATTAATTGATCAGACCAAACAGTTCTCGTTGAAACCTTCTGCAGCCAGGCCACCAAGATTGTACGGCTTGCCAAAGATACATAAAGAAGATACACCTCTTCGTCCCATTGTCTCTACTATCAACTCCCCCACTTACAAACTGGCTCGTTTTTTGTCCGAAATCCTACGGCCTTTCACTGGAAAAACCACCTCTGCAGTACTAAACTCTACTGACCTGGTATCGACAATCAAGGGGATTGCCCTGTCCCCAGACGACCTGCTTGTCAGTTTTGATGTGGTTTCCTTGTTCACCAAGGTGCCTGTGCCTGACACCATCGCAATCATTGAATACTTGGTTCATCAAGGACTGAATGCTGGGGTACCCCCCCTGGTGAGACACTGCTTAACCAATACATACTTCACCTGGAATGGAACCTTCTACAAGCAAATTGAGGGCACCCCAATGGGCTCCCCCCTATCTCCGGTTGTAGCCAACATCTTCATGGAGAAATTTGAGACGGACGCCATCCAGACTGCCACTCTACGCCCGACCTTATGGAAGAGGTACGTAGACGACACTTTTGTCATCTGGCCACATGGCCGGCCTGCTCTAGACCAATTTCTCGACCACATCAATTCCATACACCCAGCCATCAGATTCACCATGGAAGTCGAAAATGATGGCAAGCTACCCTTTTTGGATGTCCTAATCAAAAGGAGACCTGATGGTTCAATGAGCCACTCTGTCTACAGGAAAGCCACCCACACGGATGCTTATCTAAAACCGGATTCCCACCACCATCCATCCCAGAAGAATTCCCTCATCAAGACTCTATATCATAGAGCCCAATGCATCTCCGACCATGAACACATTTCCAGTGAACTCAAACACGTACGCCAAGCTCTTAAGGCTAATGGTTACTCCGACTACACAATCCGCAAAGCCATCACTCCAACCATCAAGAAGGATCCTGTTGAGGAGCCTTTCAAGACCATCACCTTACCCTACATTGCTGGGGTCACAAAAAAGATCTCCAAAATCCTGATTAAACACAAGATCCAGGTCCGATTCAACACAGTACATAAAATCCGTGATCTGGTCCCGTCTGTAAAAGATGTGGTTCCAGACATACAGTACCCTGGCGTCTACAAACTAAGTTGCCTCTGTGGTAGCAGTTACATTGGAGAAACCAAACGACATGTCTCGGACCGCATCCGTGAACATAAGGCAGACCTGAAACACGGTAGGACAAACACCTCAGCCGTGGCAGATCACTGTTACAATTCAGTGGGCTCACATGACATTGACTTCTCCAAGACAGAGGTTCTCTGCAAGCCATCTGGCTATCATGAGAGATTCGTTCATGAGGCGATCCACATATACAAACACAGAGACAATTTCAACCGAGAAGATGGATTCTGGCTTAGCAATCATTGGAAGGACGTAATAAACCATTTCGGATCTTAACTGATTGTGTTCACGTTAACGGTGACTTTCAGACCGCGTTCCACTCACTGGCATGGTGCAGTGTGCAGAGTAATGTATGGTGTCGTAATTGTACAGTAAACATATAGCAGTATGATACACATTAGGGTGGGTAGAATAATACATAGTGTTATATTAAAATGGATAAGGCAGCAACTGCAGCAGCAGCAGCAAGTGCAGCAGCAGCAGCAAGTGCAGCAGCAGCAGCAAGTGCAGCAGCAGCAGCAACTGCAGCAGCAGCAGTAACTGCAGCAGCAGCAGAAACTGCAGCAGCAGCAGCAACTTCTACAGCAGCAGTAACTGCAGCTCCCTTTGATGCTGTTAATCCTGCATAATGCACATGCATATGCAGTACTAATCACATTCCTGCATTTCCCATAAATATGCTAAATTCCTGTTGATATGCAAATTCCTTTGTCAATGCGCCCAGCTTATATATATGCTCTAAGCCCGTGTGCTGTTTCATTCAGACTCTGTCGCCTCGACGGACCTGGTTTTCACCTGAGGACGGCTGCTTGCGTTGTGGCCGAAACGTCGTGAGAACTGTTTTATTATGTTTTATTTTTATTATTTTATTACTTCCCTTCTACGTGACTTTACCGAAAGAACCAAGAAGATAGAAACAACTCTTTTGTGTTTTATCTCTCTCTCAAATTTAGCATTCTCAGGAAGAACGTAATCAACCAGGTGGGGTGTTGACTGTTATGTTATACTGGTAGGAACAAAGTGGACCAGCCTACAATAGATTATATCGTCCGTCCGTTTGTCCGTTTGTCCGTCCGTCCGTCCGTGTAGCAACATCGCCCCCTACTGCAAACACTTGGCATGACCCTACAAAAACCTTTACTCAGTGACACTTTCCTGGCTAAACAAGTGTAACATTCCCTTATAATTCCCTCAGATAGCTTTTAATTAAAACATTTCAATTAATGAGGCTTTCCTGGCTAAACAAGTGTAACATTCCCTTATAATTCCCTGAGATAGCTTTTAATTAAAACTTTGAAATTAAATAAAAAACTCACAGCACCCTAAAGCCTACAGCTAGGCCTAAAGCCTCGAACTAGGCCTCAAAGTCTCCCTTCGTATCGTACCCCCGCGTGTGTGAAAGGGAGTTAATGTTTAACAATGTTACATTCTCTGATGTTTTTCAATAGAAACATTTACGTTTAAAGCTTTTACATTAATAATTATAACTTTTAAATTATACATTAATAATGAAAACATTTAAATTAAAAATTAACTCAGCGCCCTAAAGCCTACAGCTAGGCCTAAAGCCTAGAAGTAGGCCTCAAAATCTCCTTTCGGATCGTCCGATTAGGTGTAGCAACATCGCCCCCTACTGCAAACACTTGGCAGGACCCTACAAAAACCTTTAGACTCAGTGGGGCTTTCCTGGCTAAACAAGTGTAATAATACATTATGTTTATATTCTTTGGTTATTCGTTCCTACCAGCCCACACCGCAGGGTCCTGTTCCGACTCTCTGTTGTATTACATTACATTTCTAAGTATACTACATTTGTGTTTCCGTTTCATTTATACCTGATGACGATTGCTTGCGTTGCAGTCGAAACGTCGTATGCTTGTATTTAATTTATTATTTTCTCTTTATACGTCACTTTACCGAAAGAACCTGTACTGCCACGACGCTTGATTGATTGGTCAGCCACGGTGCCACCGCCGCTCACCAGGGGGCTCTGCTGCCGCCGCCTTCACAGGCACGCGGCGACCACCGCAAGCGTCACTAGCGGGAGCATGGCCGCCGCCACCACCACGCCCATTGCGGAGATGACGAAGGGGCTCTGAGTCGTCGTGGCGACCGCCTCTTCTTCTGACGAGGAGCGGGCTGGGGGTGGGGGGTCGGGGGGGTCACGGAGAGCAGAGAGAAATCCAGCAACGGCGAGCGTCGTAGTCGCCCGTGCCACGAGCGATGTGACTTGTCATCGATAATAAAAACACTGGGACCGGACTCATTTCACTGCCTTGGTGACCCTCCTGGTTCGTCTTTCATAATCAGCGGCCACCATCGATCTACCTGATACACGAACCCCCCCGGAGACTAGACAAGCCATCACCGCCATCTTGTGCACAGCGATCCAACTGGCTCCATTGAAGCTGTCCGGCAAATGAAAAACATCGTGGACTCACCACACAGAGACCCACAGACTCACCACACAGAGGCCCACAGACTCATCACACAGACCCATAGACTCATCACACAGAGACCCATAGACTCATCACACAGAGACCCATAGATTCATCACACAGAGACCCATAGACTCATGAGTCTATGTGTCTCTGTGTGATGAGTCTATGGGTCTCTGTGTGATGAGTCTATGGGTCTCTGTGTGATGAGTCTATGGGTCTCTGCATGATGAGTCTATGGGTCTGTGTGAGTCTATCGGTCTCAGTGTGATGAGTCTATGGGTCTCTGTGTGATGAGTCTATGGGTCTGTGTGAGTCTATGGGTCTCTGTGTGATGAGTCTATGGGTCTCTGTGTGATAAGTCTATGGGTCTGTGTGAGTCTATGGGTCTCTGTGTGATGAGTCTATGGGTCTCTGTGTGGTGAGTCTGGGTCTGTGTAAGTCTATGGGTCTCTGTGTGACGAGTCTATGGGTCTCTGTGTGATGAGTCTATGGGTCTGTGTGAGTCTATGGGTCTCTGTGTGATGAGTCTATGGGTCTCTGTGTGATGAGTCTGTGGGTCTCTGTGTGGTGAGTCTGTGGGTCTCTGTGTGGTGAGTCTGTGGGTCTCTGTGTGGTGAGTCTGTGGGTCTCTGTGTGATGAGTCTGTGGGTCTCTGTGTGGTGAGTCTGTGGGTCTCTGTGTGGTGAGTCTGTGGGTCTCTGTGTGATGAGTCTGTGGGTCTCTGTGTGGTGAGTCTGTGGGTCTCTGTGTGATGAGTCTGTGGGTCTCGGTGTGGTGAGTCTATGGGTCTGTGTGAGTCTATCGGTCTCTGTGTGATGAGTCTGTGTGTCTCGGTGTGATGAGTCTATGGGTCTGTGTGAGTCTATCGGTCTCTGTGTGATGAGTCTATGTGTCTCTGTGTGATGAGTCTATGGGTCTCTGTGTGATGAGTCTATGGGTCTCTGTGTGATGAGTCTATGGGTCTCTGCATGATGAGTCTATGGGTCTCTGTGTGGTGAGTCTATGGGTCTGTGTGAGTCTATCGGTCTCAGTGTGATGAGTCTATGGGTCTCTGTGTGATGAGTCTATGGGTCTGTGTGAGTCTATGGGTCTCTGTGTGATGAGTCTATGGGTCTCTGTGTGATGAGTCTATGGGTCTCTGTGTGGTGAGTCTATGGGTCTGTGTGAGTCTATGGGTCTCTGTGTGATGAGTCAATGGGCAATGGGTCTGTGTGGTGAGTCTATGGGTCTGTGTGAGTCTAGCGGTCTCTGTGTGATGAGTCTATGGGTCTCTGTGTGATGAGTCTATGGGTCTGTGTGAGTCTATCGGTCTCTGTGTGATGAGTCTATGGGTCTGTCTATGGGTCTGTGTGAGTCTATCGGTCTCTGTGTGATGAGTCTATGGGTCTGTGTGAGTCTATGGGTCTCTGTGTGATGAGTCTATGGGTCTGTGTGAGTCTATGGGTCTCTCTGTGGTGAGTCTATGGTTCTGTGTGAGTCTATCGGTCTCGTTGTGATGAGTCTATCGGTCTCGGTGTGCAAACCTTCGACGTAGAGGCGTGCCTGGAGCTGCTGGTGGTGCAGCTTGTTGACCGCGTAGCAGGTGTACGTGTCGGAGTCGGCAGGCGACAGGTCCGAGATGAGCAGCGTGCCGTTGGCGAAGGTTTGGTGGCGCTCGCTCGCCAGGGATGCGCCGTGCTCGCCCTGGAACCTGGCGGTGCGCGGCGTAAGCAAAGAGGAGGGGGGGGGGGGGAGTCTTGAGTGTTGTACACACACACACAGCAGTTTCACTGTGTGTGTGTGAGTGTTGTACACACACACACAGCAGTTTCACTGTGTGTGTCACACACACACAGCAGTTTCACTGTGTGTGTGTGTTGCACACACACACACACAGTTTCACTGTGTGTGTGTGTGTGTTGCACACATACACATACAGTTTTACTGTGTGTGTGTGAGTGTTGCACACACACACACCCAGTTTCACTGTGTGTGTCACACACACACAGCAGTTTCACTGTGTGTGTGTGTGTGTCACACACACACATACAGCAGTTCTTCACATGAGGACGGCTGCTTGCGTTGTGGCCGAAACGTCGTGAGAATTGTATTTTATAATGTTTTATTTTTATAATTTTATTATTTCCCTTCTACGTGACTTTACCGAAAGAACCAAGAAGATGAATCCCTGCAGTCACGAAAGCTTTAAATCAGTATTAGGGTTAGAGAATTACCAGTATGAACTACACTACGTCATCCTTGACAGTGTTTAGTTCATGGAGGCAGTAAAATAGCCGGGCCAGCGTCGGTCTCACCACAGGATGTTGGGACGTGGCAACCCAAACACGGCACATTCCAAGTACGCGGCCTGTCCCTCTGTGGCCGTGTACAGCCTGTCCGGCTTCGACAGCATCCGTGGGGCCACGGCTGTGCGAGAGGTGGTGGTGGGATGGGGCAGGGGGGAGGGAGGGTTGCTGGGTTAGAGGAATGTTGTGGAACCGCAGCAGAGATGCCACCAGGTGAAGCAGGAGGAGATCTTGGGGGGTGGTGGCAGGAATTGACGAGGGAAGCTTCAGGAGGGAAGTGAGAAAGAGAGAGAGGAGATTGGAGAATGAGGAGCGGAGGAAGAGCGGAGGGAGACACTGAGTGGTTATCCCTCCACGGAACACAGGAGGTGGAATGTGGAGGGGGAGGGAGGAGGAGGGAGGAGGAGGAGGGTTTGAAGGGGGGAACAACACGAGGAGAAGCAAGACAGATGCTTGCCGAGAGGACTCACACAGAGACCCACAGACTCATCACACAGAGACCCATAGACTCACACAGAGACCCATAGACTCATCACACAGAGACCCATAGACTCATCACACAGAGACTCACAGACTCATCACACAGAGACCCATAGACTCACACAGAGACCTACAGACTCACACAGAGACCCACAGACTACTCACACAGAGACCCATAGACTCACACAGAGACCTACAGACTCACACAGCGACCCATAGACTCACACAGAGACCCACAGACTCACACAGCGACCCACAGACTGACACAGAGACCCACAGACTGACACAGAGACCCACAGACTCATCACACAGAGACCCATAGACTCACACAGAGACCCATAGACTCATCACACAGAGACCCACAGACTCATCACACAGAGACCCACATACTCATCACACAGAGACCCATAGACTCATCACACAGAGACTCACAGACTCATCACACAGAGACCCATAGACTCACACAGAGACCTACAGACTCACACAGAGACCCACAGACTACTCACACAGAGACCCATAGACTCACACAGAGACCTACAGACTCACACAGCGACCCATAGACTCACACAGAGACCCACAGACTCACACAGCGACCCACAGACTGACACAGAGACCCACAGACTGACACAGAGACCCACAGACTCACACAGAGACCCACAGATTCGCATAGAGACTCAGTCGTCCTTCCCCCGCACCTCCGACCGTCATAGTTGGCTACGTGCGGCTCTCACCCAGGACGTTGACGTAGGCGTTGGCCAGGATGGTGCCGTGACGGTTGGAGGCCTGGCACTGGTACACGCCGGTGTCTTCCTCCCGCAGCCAGGGCAGCGTCAGGAAGTCGCGGTCCACCCGCCGGTCTGGCACCGCGGGGGCTTCTGCTCCGTGGCACGGCGGCACGACGCCCGGCACGGTTTGGCGCGGTCTCGGCGCACGATGCGGAACGATTTTAACCACGATGTGGAATGGTCTGAGCGCGATTTGACATTGTTTGGCAGGATGCATTTAGCGCAACGCGGCGTGATCCGGCTCACTTCGCTACGTCCTGTGGGTGAGCGTGCGACCGGCTGGGTGAGGGCGTGCACATTGCGGGCAAGTGAGCGGGCGAGTGAGCGGACGAGTGAGCGGGCGAGTGAGTGGGCAGGTGAGCGGGCGGGTGAGCGGGCGAGTGAGCGGACGAGTGAGCGGGCGAGTGAGCGGGCGGGTGAGCGGGCGGGTGAGCGGGCGAGTGAGCGGGCCAGTGAGCGGGCGAGTGAGCGGGCGAGTGAGCGGGCGGGTGAGCGGGCGGGTGAGCGAGCGGGTGAGCGGGCGAGTGAGCGGACGAGTGAGCGGGCGGGTGAGCGGGCGAGTGAGCGGGCGAGTGAGCGGGCGAGTGAGCGGATGAGTGAGCGGGCGAGTGAGTGGGCGAGTGAGCGGGCGACTGGTTGACCGAGCGTGTGATTTTACCGCGATCGGTCGACCGAGCGATCGGCTGACGAGCGTGTGCACGTGCACGTCGGTGGACAAGCGGGCGAGCGAGCGTGCGATCGATCCGCGAGTGAGCGGGCGGGGCGAGTGGGCGAGCGAGACTGACCCCCCCCCCCCCGCGTCTCACCGTCGATGGGCACACCGTTGAGGAACCAGCGGATGGTCGGTGCGGGGATTCCGCTTGCGAAGCACGTGAGCTTGGCGCTGTCCCCCGGCGCGTAGCTGCGGCTCTCTGGCAGCGGAGCGAACAGAGAGGGCGGGGGGGGGGGCGGGGGGGAGGAGGAGGGGGAGCGAGGGGAGGAGGAGGAGGGGGGAGGAGGAAAAGGGGGTAAGGAGGAGGAGAGGGGGGAGGAGGAGGCAGGGGGGAGGAGGAGGGGGGGAAGGAGGGGGGGGAGGAGGAGGAGGGGGGGGAGGAGGAGGGGGGGGGAGGAGGGAGGGGGGAGGAGGAGGAGGGAGGAAGAGGAGGAGGGGGGGGGAGGGCGGAGGGGACAGGGGGGGAGGAGGGGTTAGACAATGTCCCTTGCTTGTCAACTAGACATCACACATGTGTGGTTACCAGGCAGGTCCACTGAGCTACGTAGCTCACAGGCGGACCGGCTCTCGGACGAACAAACCCACGCGACTTTCACACGGCACCAGCGAGTGTCGCGCGGCACCAGCGAGTGTCAAGGCAGAACCAGACAGGGGGGTGGGTGGGGGGGGGGGGTCCCCACCTGCGATAGGGAAAGGCGGCTGATGGAAATGAACAAAGCGAGGTGTCAGTCACCATCGGTGTGGCCGGCTTCCTATAGACAGGGACCACCACCCCAGCAGCAGCAGCAGCACCACCAGACAGCGGAGGGAGAATGGAGGCAGACCCCCGGCTGTGAATGGGAACTCGAGGTTGTTGCCGGGTTCGTAGCGGAGTGGCGCTAACACCTGAGCCACCACTCCGCCACGCGCACACACGCACACACACGCACACACACACACGCACACACACACACGCACACACACGCACGCAGGCAGGCACACGCACGCAGGCACACGCACACGCACGCACACACACACACGCACACACACACGCAGGCAGGCACACGCACGCAGGCACACGCACACGCATGCACACACACACGCAGGCGCACACACACACACGCAGGCACACACGCAGGCACACGTACGCACACACACACAGGCACACACACAGGCACACACGCAGGCACACGCACACACACGCACGCAGATACACGCACGCACACACACGCACGCAGACACATGCACGCACACACACACACACGCACGCACACACGTAGGCACACACACAGGCACGCACACACGCAGGCACACACACACGCAGGCACACACACATACACACAGGCACACGCACGCACACATACACAGGCACACACACACAGGCACACAGACACACACACAGGCACACACAGACACACACAGGCGCACACGCACACAGGCACACAGACACACACACACAGGCACACACACACACAGACACACACAGGCACACGCACGCAGGCACACGCACGCACACACATACACACGCATGCACACACAGGTGCACACAGACACACGCAGGCACACACAGGTGCACACAGGCACACATACACACACAGGCACAGGCACGCACATAGACACACACACACGCACACACACAGGCACACACACAGGCACACACACAGGCACACACATGCACGCACAGACGCAGGCACACACACAGGCACACGCACGCACACGCACGCACGCACACGCACACACGCAGGCACACACACAGGCACACGCACGCACACGCACGCACACGCACGCACACACACACGCACGCACACAGGCGCACGCACACGCACACGCAGGCACACGCACACGCACGCACACGCACGCACACACGCAGGCACACACACAGGCGCACGGACGCACACACGCAGGCACACGCAGGCACACGCACGCACAGGTGCACACAGACACAGGCACACAGACACACACACAGGCACAAACACACACACACAGACACACACACAGGCGCAAACACACACACACACACACAGGTGCACACACACACACACAGGCGCACACCTTCCACGGTGACCGTGACGGTGTGCAGCGCCACGCCCTCGCTGTTGAAGGCGCGGCACTGGTAGCTGCCGCCGTGTGACAGCGTCGCGTTGCGGATGGCCAGCGTCGTGCCGGGGTCGTGCCGGCCTCGTGCCGGAGCCGTGCCGGGGGGTGCGTCGAGGGGGGCGGCTTCCTCATCCGACGACAACAACATCCCACCCCACTTGCTCCAGCTCACCTCCGGCGTGGGGCTACGCACACACACACAGGGAACGCACACGCACACACACGCGCGCACGTGTGTGTGTGTGTGTGCACGTGTGTGTGTGTCAGTTGACCCGTGGCACCTGCTGGGTCTGCCCCGTGACCTCCTGCCAGCGGGCGTTCGACACTTCACGTGGTAGCCTCAAGGCGCACATGGCCTGGCGCAAGTGACGTCAACGCCACTTAGTGGCGAATTGCGGTTGTTGTTGTGTTGCACTTGTGTGTGTGTAGATGTGTGCGTGCGTGTGTGTGGGGAGCGGTAGTGTAGTGGTTAGCGCGCTGCGCTACGAACCCGGCGACACGAGTTCGATTCCCGCTCACGGCCAACACCAACAGTGACGATTATTTGAACCGGTCCCGGGCCTCCCCTAGGTCGACTCAGCCTTAAATGAGTACCTGGTGCGGTGTGTAAACATCGCCACTGGGGAGACAAAGGCAGTCGGGCGTGGTTGCTGGCCACCCACCCCCTCGTGTGCCGTTCCGGCCTTCATAGGTGCTCGCTAACAGCACTTGCCCTTACAGTCTGTTAAGGCTACACGGGGGATCTTTGTCTTGTGTGCGTGTGCGTGCGTGTGTGTACGTACAGGCCTCGTGTGATGCACGTCAACAGCAGCGTCTCCCCGGTGAGCACCACCTTGCTGCTCGTCTCCCCCGCGGGCTCCACGAACACCGGCCGGCTTTTTGACGGACGCTCTGCGTGTGCATCATCCACGTGGGGTGCGCGGGGAGCGGTGGCACAGTGGTTAGCGTCTACACTGCGCTACAAAAGCTGGCCACGAGCCGAGTTTGATTCCCGCCGTAGGGCAACACCGGTGACGGTTATGTGAACACGCGCATACGTACGCACACACGTACACACACGTACACACACGCACACACACACGTACACACACACGTACACAAAAGATAAAGATCCCCCGTATAGCCTGAACAGACTGTAGGGGCAAGTGCTGTTAGCGAGCACCTATGAAGGCCACAACGGTACACGAGGGGGTGGGTGGCCAGCACCACGCCCGACCGCCTTTGTCTCCCTAGTGGCGATGTTTACACACCGCACCAGGTACTCATTTAAGGCTGAGTCGACCTAGGGGAGGCCCAGGACCGGTTCAGAAAATCGTCACTGGTGTTAGCCGTGAGCGGGAATCGAACCCGGGTCGCCAGGTTCATAGCGCAGCGCGCTAACCGCTACACTACCGCTCCCCACACGTACACACACACACGTACACACACACACGTACACACACGCACACACGTACGCACACACACGTACACACACACACGTACACACACACACACGTACACACGCACACGTACACACACACACGTACACACACACGTACACACACGTACACACACGTACACACACACACGTACACACACACACGTACACACACACACATACACACACGCACACACGTACACACACAGACGTACACACACACACACACGTACACACACACACGTCCACACACACACACGTACACGCACACAACAACCGCCATTCGCCACTAAGTGGCGGTGACGTCACCACGACGCTTGTGCCAGGCCAAGTGCACCTTGAGGCCACGTGAAGTGTCGAACGCCCGCTGGCAAGGAGGTCACGGGGCAGACCCAGCAGGTGCCACGGGTCGACTGACCGAGTTGACCGAGATGACTGGCTGATGCACCACCTGTGCCCCCTACTGTGCCAACTTGCTGTGCTTTAGCCACCCGGCGCTCTGTTCGTTGTTGTGAGCGTCGCTCCTCCGCCCTCCACTGTTGTTGGAGGGCGACTGCCTCCAACTGCCCAGTAGCGTCCTTCACGAGCCTCCTCCACTGAGGCCGATCTTGACACCGCTGGTACCAGTCATCGGCAAGTCCACTCAGCTCCAAGTCCTCCCGAACCACATCACTCCATCTCTTCTCCAGCCCGTGCCGCGCCCGTTTAGCCCCCTCGATCCGGCCGAACAAAAGCTGTTTAGGCATGCGGTGGCTGGGCATGCGGGCTACATGACCCAGCCAACGCAGCCTTGCCTACCGGAGGAGCTCACCGGTGGGACTTTGCCCAGATCTTTCAAGGATTTGTGAGCTCCTCACACAATCCAGCCTGGTTAAACCCAGGATGGATCGTAGGCAGGCCAGCCTAAATGTTTCCAACCGGCGAAGATGCTCCATTAGGGGGGTCCACGTTTCGCAAGCGTAGAGCAGGGAGGGAATGACCGTGGCCGAGAAGACCTGAAGCTTCGTGCGGAGCGACAGACCAGGTAGCTTCCACACATCGTTACGCAACCAATGAAAAGATATTTCCGCTCGACTGATTCGGAGTGAGACCTCTGCTGTTAAACTGGAACCGGTCATAAGCACACTGCCCAGGTATGGGAAACTCTCCACTCTCTCCACAATTTCCCCATCACCGATTGGGAGTTGTGGGGGTGGAGTGTCCGATGGTACAAAATACCCAGGCAGGTGCTTAGTTTTGGGGGGGCTGATGGTAAGGCCCCACCTCTTAGTGGCACGCTCCAGTCTCAGCAGCAGCGTCTCCAACTCCTCTTCTGAATGAGCAGCTATTACCAAATCATCAGCATACATAACGTGGTTGACCAATAGGGAGCCATCCCTTGATCGCACCCGGGCGTCGAACAGCCTCCCATTATATCTGTACCAAATGGAAATTCCTCCGGTACAGCTATTGAAGGCTTCCCGAACTACGTAGTCGAAATAGATGTTAAATAATGTGGGAGCCAAACGACATCCCTGTCGCACCCCAAGGTGTACAGGTAAAGGCTCCGACTCCCGGCCACGTAGTTTTACCCGGGCCCGCTCACCATCATGAAGGTCCTTAATGATCGTGAGCAGAGGGTCAGGGACTCCGAAAGCACAAAGAACACCCCAGAGCCCAGGCCTATTGATGGTATCATAAACCTTGACCAGGTCAATAAAGCAGAGATGCAGGTCTTGTTGGAATTGCCTACACCTCTGCTGTAGCAGACGGACAGAAAATATGGCATCTGTGCAGGACCGCCCTTTCCTGAAACCGCATTGGGGTTCCGCAAGCCTCTCCTCAGCGTGCCTAGCAAGGCGATGTTGAATAATCCTTGCCAGGACCTTTCCCGGCACACTGAGGAGTGAGATGCCCCTGTAGTTGTTACAATCTGTGCGGTCCCCCTTCTTAAAGAGGGGGACCACCAGGGCATCCTTCCAATCCTGCGGTACCCGTCCAGCGGTCCAGACTGTTGTTATGATGTCATATAGGGCAGTATGTGCACAAACGCCACCCTCCCTCAGCATTTCGCTCGGGAGATCATCTCTGCACGGTGCCTTTCCTGGTCTCAGACTCCGGATCGCCTTAAGTACTTCCTCAACAGATGGCACCTCAGCCAGCCACTCACACACACACACACGCACACACGTACGCACACACACACGTACACACACACACGTACACACACACGTACACACACACGTACACACACACGTACACACACACGCACACACACACACGTACACACACACACGTACACACACACACGTGCACACACACACACGTCCACACACGCACACACACACACGTACACACACACGTACACACACACACACGTACACACACACACGTACACACATACACACACACGTACACACACACACGTACACACACACGCACACGTCCACGCACACACACACGCACGCACACGTCCACGCACACACACACGCGTACACACACACGTACACACACACACGTCCACGCACACACACACACACGGCCACACACGCACACACACACACACGTCTACACACGTCCACACATGTCCACGCACACACACACACGTACACACACACACACGTCCACGCACACACACACACACACGCACACACACACGTACACACACACACACACGTACACACACACACACGTACACACGCACACACACACACGTACACACACACGCACACGTCCACGCACACACACACGCACGCACACGTCCACGCACACACACACGCGTACACACACACGTACACACACACACGTCCACGCACACACACACACACGGCCACACACGCACACACACACACACGTCTACACACGTCCACACATGTCCACGCACACACACGTACACACACACACACGTCCACGCACACACACACATACACACACACGCACACACACACGTACACACACACACACACGTCCACACACACACACACGTACACACACACGCACACACACACACGTACACACACACGCACACACGTACACACACACACACGGCCACGCACACATACGTACACACACACACACGTCCACACACACACGTACACACACACGCACACACGTCCATGCACACACGTACACACGTACACACGTACACGCACACACAAACACGTCCACACACACACACGTCCACGCGCCCACACACGCGTACACACACACGTACACACACACACACGTACACACACACGCACACGTCCACGCACGCACTTCCCGGCGTTTGCCACCGCTGCCGCCACTCACCGCGTGTGACGACCAGCCGTAGCGGCTGCTTGTGGCGGATGGTGCCCCCCGTGTGCGGGTAGCGCGCGTGGCACACGTAGTCACCCTCGTCGCCGGGGAGCACGTTGGCGAAATGCAGGTCACCCTCCGGACCCTGCGTCACTCGCCCATCCAGCGGCACTTTCTCCACGGCTGCGGCGGTGGTGGTGGTGGCGGTGGTGGCGGCGGTGGTGGTGGCGGTGGTGGTGGTGGTGACGGTGGTGGCGGCGGTGGCGGTGGTGGTGGTGGTGGCAGTGGTGGTGGTGGTGGCGGCGGTGGCGGTGGTGGTGGTGGTGGTGGTGGCGGTGGTGGTGGTGGCGGTGGTGGCACCACCCCGGGGTGGAGGGCGGTGGGCAGTCGGAGGGGCGGCGGGGGGAGGGATTGAGGAGATCAGAATCGTTATACAGGTAGGAACAATGTTCCACACTCTTCGTGGTTCTTTCGGTAAAGTGACTTAGAAGGGAAGTAATAAAATAATAAAAATAAAACATAATGTGTTTTATTTTTATTATTTTATAATAAAATAAAACATATGTTTTCTTTTTATTATTTTATTACTTCCCTTCTACGTGACTTTACCGAAAGAACCAAGAAGATGAATACAGTGATACCTCGGTTCACGAACGCTTCTGTTCACGAACAACTCCGTTCACGAACAGAAAAGTTAATAAAAATGTGCTCTGGTTCACGAACTCCGCTTCGGTTCACGAACAGGAGCCGCGGCCATTTTAATGCCATTTCCAGGCTGTCACATGGTCGTGACTTCCTGTAGGAAGATCGTGGAGAGAAGAAGAGACACAGAAAGAAGTACTTTGAGTACTGCGAAGACACTTTCAGTGACTTTTTGCTTTTTGGTGTGCTTTTTAGCACATACAGTACTGTACTGTACTACTGTACTGTACAATACTGTACTTACTGTATTGTACAGTTCACCCGTTTGAGTGCTTACTGAAGTCATCTCAAGCAAGGTTAGTGTTCTCTCTTTATGCATTACTATACTGCACAGTACTAATGTGTATTGTAATTTGTTTAATATTTTTGTGCTTCAAAAACCAAAAAAAAAAGGTCAGAACGGATTAACCGGATTTACATTGAACCCTATGGGAAAATGTGCCTCGTTTCACGACCAATTCGGTTCGCGACCAGTCAGTTCACGAATTAAGTTCGTGAACCGAGGTATCACTGTACCTGCAGTCACGAAAGCTTTAAATCGAAATGTTCCACACTGCCCACCAGGGATTATATACCTGTCTGTCGTGCATAAATAAATATATAATACAAACAGCTCTTTGATTGGTGGAGACCTACTGCCGGGTACGGAGAGGGGAGGGGCCTAAGGAAGGGGGGATCAGAGGAGGGGCCTGAGGGGGGGGTCAGGGGAAGGGCCTAAGGGACATCACGGGACGATTCACCGCTCCGCTACTCAGGGTGGGGTCGTCTGGCACGACCACCCGAATGTGACATTGTGGCCGTCGCTCTGCATCCACATCAGCGGCCGCGCGGAAGCTGAAGAACGCGGATGTCCAGTGTGGGCATGGGGTCAGCGAGTTACAACAACCAACGATGCAAACAACGCGATGGGAGAGAGAGAGACACGCAAACTACAAATATACAGCAGCAGGCGTCAGGGTCGGGATCGAACCCACGACCTCCTGTACACCAGGCGAGGTAGTCAACATCTCATAGCCACCGTGATGATGATGAGAGAGACACGCAAACTCCAAATATACAGCAGCAGGCGTCGTCAGGGTCGGGATCGAACCCAAGACCTCCTGCGTGCCAGGCGAGGTAGTCAACATCTCATAGCCAGCGCGGTACTCACAGCTGCAACATCTCATAGCCAGCGTGATACTCACAGCTGTAACATCTCATAGCCAGCGCGGTACTCACAGCTGTAACATCTCATAGCCAGCGTGGTACTCACAGCTGTAACATCTCATAGCCAGCGCGGTACTCACAGCTGTAACATCTCATAGCCAGCGTGGTACTCACAGCTGCCACATCTCATAGCCAGCGCGGTACTCACAGCTGCAACATCTCATAGCCAGCGTGGTACTCACAGCTGTGACATCTCACAGCCAGCGTGGTACTCACAGCTGTAACATCTCATAGCCAGCGTGGTACTCACAGCTGCCACGTCTCATAGCCAGCGTGGTACTCACAGCTGTGACATCTCATAGCCAGCGTGGTACTCACAGCTGCCACATCTCATAGGCAGCGTGGTACTCACAGCTGTCACGTCTCATAGCCAGCGTGGTACTCACAGCTGTAACATCTCATAGCCAGCGTGGTACTCACAGCTGCCACATCTCATAGGCAGCGTGGTACTCACAGCTGCCACATCTCATAGCCAGCGTGGTACTCACAGCTGTGACATCTCATAGCCAGCGTGGTACTCACAGCTGTCCAGCCAGAAGACGGTGGGAGGAGGGAAGCCGTGGGGAGGAGGGCGGCAGTGCAGAACGGCCGGGGAGCCCACGGCGGCCATGACGGGCGCCAGCTGCTCACGCGGCCACCGTGGGGCGCCTGCAGGGTACAGACAAAGACCTCCCGTGTAGCCTGCACAGACCGTCGGGGCAAGTGCTGCCAGCAAGTAGCATGGGTTGGTGGTCAGGCACCGCACACCGCAATGGTAACGTGTTTACACGTCGCATTAGGTACTCGTTTGAGGCTGAGTCGACCTAGGGGAGGGCCCAGGACGGGTTCAGCAACTTTGTGTGTGGGGAGCGGTGGTGCAGCGGTTAGGACACTGTGTGTGTGTGTGTGGGGAGCGGTGGTGCAGCGGTTAGCGCCCTGTGTGTGTGAGTGGGGAGTGGTGGTGCAGCGGTTAGCGCCCTGTGTGTGTGAGTGGGGAGTGGTGGTGCAGCGGTTAGCGCCCTCTGTGTGTTGCAGTGGGAGTGGTGTTGCAGCGGTTAGCGCCCTGTGTGTGTGTGTGGGGAGCGGTGGTGCAGCGGTTAGCACACTGTGTGTGTGTGTGGGGAGCGGTGTTGCAGCGGTTAGCACACTGTGTGTGTGTGAGTGGGGAGTGGTGGTGCAGCGGTTAGCGCCCTGTGTGTGTGAGTGGGGAGTGGTGGTGCAGCGGTTAGCGCCCTGTGTGTGTGAGTGGTGGTTGACGGTGCGAGCGTGCCCCCCCCCCCCCACTCACGCGCCAGCCTCACGGTGATGTTGGCACTGAGCGCCGTGCCAGCCCGGTTACGCGCCGAGCAGCGGTAGACCCCCTGGTAGACCTCCACCGCGTCACCGTCACTGTCACCGTCACCGCCGCCCTCCGCCGCCGCCGCGGCCGCCAAGTCGACGGTGAAGGACCCCGAAGTGTCGCCTGGGCGCCGCACGTGGGGGTCACTGTCGGGGTCAAAGCTGACGCCATCTTTGCTCCACAAGAACCTGCAGCACGAGAGGGGAGGGAGGGAGGGGGGGGGAGGGGGGAGGTGGTGGGGATGGGAGGGAGGGAGGGGAGGGAAGGGAGGGGGGAGGGAGTGAGAGAGTGAATTAGGGATGGAGGGAGGGAGGTGGGGAGGGGGGTGTAAGTCGGGAGGGAGGGATGGAAGTCGGGAAGAAGGGGAGATGGAGGGAGGGAGGGATGGCGGGAGGTGTGTGCAGCGTACGTGGGCGCTGGGTTGCCGTGTGCTTCACACTGCAGCACGATGTTGTCCCGTGAGTCCACGACGTAGTCCTCCCGCGATTGCCGCGTGATGGACGGGGGCTGAGTGACTGCGAGAGATCAACGGGTTAGCTCACGGGTAGTGACTCATGTTGCAGTTTATTGGCAACAGCATTCCAGACCCTGGGGGCATCAATAGCAAAGGCCCTTCCTCCAGTATTTGTACGGCAACAGGGAATGTGAAGCTGGTAAATGAGCGAAGACCTTAGGTGTTATAATTGTTTTTTTTACCCTTCTATCTGGCAACAAAACTGACACCTTTTTACAAGGAGTCATGTTTGCATAGACCACAATACCTGCAGCCATAATGCAAACAAAAACATAACTCTGATAATGTATGCACTGTCCTTGAAGTTGATTGGTCCACACCCGAGACAGCTTTCCTTAGAGCCTAGTCTCACATGGGTTGGACCAGATGACGCCAAAAGGCGCACAACTCAAAGACAATGCACCATCAGAGTATGAGAACGCGGGGTAAGCATTTACACCATTGGAACCTCATTTGCCAGTAAAAATATGATCATTGTTTTTTTACCCTTTTATATGGCAACAAAACTGACACCCTTTTTTTACAAGGAGTCATGTTTGCATTGACCACAATACCTGCGATCGTAATGCAAACAAAAAACATAACTGATGATGTGCACTGTCCTTGAAGTTGATTGGTCCACACCCGAGACAGCTTTCCTTAGAGCCTAGTCTCACATGGGTTGGACCAGATGACGCCAAAGGCGCACCTTATGTGCTGTAGAGGGGGGGGGGAGGTCTCAGCTTAACGGGGGGGGGGGCTACTCACGGTCAAGGGGCAGGACGAGGGGGGGGTCACAAAGAGCGCCAAGCAGCAAAGACACCAGCAACGCCACGAAGCCGCCGGCGGCTGTGGTGGTGGTGGTGGTGGAGAAAGAAGCCGCCATCGGGGTGGGGGCAGGGAGGGTGGTCGGACGAGGGGGGGGGCTCCCTTCACTTGGCTAGGAGGGGAGGAAGGGGGGGGAGCAAGAAGGAGGGGGGAGGGAGTAGGAGAGGGAGGGGCGGCAGGAGGGGGAAGGATGGGAGGGAGATTTGGGGGTCTTACAATGGAACATCTGTGACGTGTTGTTTGTCTACTAAAAGCCATCCAGGCAGCGAATTTCAGTCACGTAGGGGAAAATAAATAGTAATAAATAAATTATAGAATGATAGAAATTATAGAAATAAAATTATTATAATATTATTTTATATTATTTAATTTCTATAATTGTTCCCATCATTTTATTATTTAATATTTATTTTTTATTTTACCCTGACTTTACCGAAAAAACCTAAGAGTATGAATCGTTGCAGTCACGAAAGCTTCAAATCTAGAAGCATTGAGGTGTTTTAGAAATACAGATGAAGGTCTTCATTCCGATGCGCTATCAAGTTCTTTTACACAAACGCCGGTCACGGGGTCAGGACATGAGAACATTCAGTACAAAAGCACGATAAGTGAAGGAAAGGTGGACAAATCACTTGTAAAAAATTAACCCGTAAAAACAAAGTTTTTCACTATAAATCCTTTATATGCGTGGCATCGGTTTTATTTTATTATTCATTTCTGTTTTTCTTGAGTAAGAGATTCATTTTTATCACTTTGCTATTTTAAATTAAATATAAGGAAAGTCGTATATAAGGATTATAAGGTTTTCAGTTTTTGTATGATTGTTTATATTGTACATTTTTGTTGTTTTCTTGAATAATTTTCTGTGTTTAGGAAAAATATATGATTGTGTTTGTGAAATTATTTTTTTCCTAAAAAGTGGAAAATTTTGGAAAACAATTTTCACGAAAATAAATTGTCACGCACAACGAGTCTGTGTGCAAAATGTCAGCTCGATTGAATCACGGGAAGTGGGTTTAAAAACGACCGAAAGATTTGCACGGTCGTAAGCGCGCAAGCAAGCAAGTGAACTTAATATAAAAGATTTAATAATAATAGAAATGGATATGTATTTTCCCCTTTTATTCTCTGCTTCATCAATGTTGATAATTGTCACCAAAGTACACTGTTTAAAACTCTCTTGATTTGAAGTTTTCGTGACTTCAGGAATCCACTCTTTGGTTCTTTCGGTAAATTCACGTAGGTGTAAAATAAAATAAATCACGACGTTTCGGGCTCAACACAAGCATCTATTATCAACACAAGCGTCTATCATCCATCATCATCACCTGATGATGGACACTATACCGAAGTAACTTTACCGAAAGCACCAAAGAGTATAAGTGAACACTGTTTTAAAACTCTCTTCTATAGGCACAGCGCCATTTTGGCTTTTCATGATCAGATTCGTTAACTTGGCATTTTGATTTTACAAAATGAACAGCTTTTTCTCAGCTACCCCAGGTGGGACTCGAACCCACAATCCCTGGCTTAGGAGGCCAGTTCCTTATCCATTAGGCCACTGGGGCTACATGTAGCATGATGAAAACCTGGCTTATGTACAGACTTCTTAAATAAACTCACAATAAAAAATATGTTTTTCCCCTTTCGTCCCCTCTGTTTAATTCATGTTGATAATTGTTTTTTTCCTAAAAAGTGGAAAATTTAGGAAACATTTTTTTACGAAAATAAATTGTCACGCACAACGAGTCTGTGTGCAAAATGTCAGCTCGTTTGGATTACGGGAAGTGGGTTAAATAACGACCGAAAGATTTGCACGGTCGTAAGCGCGCAAGCAAGTAAGCAAGCAAGTGAACTTAATATAAAGGATTTAATAATAATAGAAATGGATATGTATTTCCCCTTTTATTCTCTGCTTTATCAATGTTGATAATTGTCACCAAAGTACACTGTTTAAAACTCTTAATCTTAGGTTTTTTCGGTAAAGTCATGTAGGTAAAACATTAAAATTAATAAAAGTAAAAAAAAGTAAAATTTTACTTTTATTAATTTTAATGTTTTACCTACGTGAATTTACCGAAAAAACCTAAGAATATGAATCCTTGCAGTCACGAAAGCTTCAAATCTAGAATGTTTAAAGCTCTCTTGATTAGAAGCTTTCGTGACTTCAGGAATCCATACACTTTGGTTCTTTCGGTAAATTCACGTAGGTGTAAAATAAAATAAATCACGACGTTTCGGGCTCAACACAAGCGTCTATCATCAACACAAGCGTCTATCATCATCACCTGATGATGGACACTATACCGACGTAACTTTACCGAAAGAACCAAAGAGTATCACTGAACACTGTTTTAAAACTCTCTTCTATAGGCACAGCGCCATTTTGGCTTTTCATTATCAGATTCGTTAACTTGACTTTTTGATTTTACAAAATAAACAGCTTTTTCTCAGCAACCCCAGGTGGGACTCGAACCCACAATCCCTGGCTTAGGAGGCCAGTGCCTTATCCATTAGGCCACTGGGGCTACATGTAGCATGATGAAAACCTGGCTTATGTACAGACTTCTTAAATAAACTCACAATTAAAAAAATATATGTTTTTCCCCTTTCGTCCCCTCTGTTTTATTCATGTTGATAATTGTTTTTTTCCTAAAAAGTGGAAAATTTTGGATTTTTTTTTCACTAAAATAAATTGTCACGCACAACGAGTCTGTTTGCAAAATGTCAGCTCGATTGAATCACGGGAAGTGGGTTAAAAACGACCGAAAGATTTGCACGGTCGTAAGCGCGCAAGCAAGCAAGTGAACTTAATATAAAGGATTTTAAAATACGTCAATTTTCTTTGAGATTTGAAGCTTTCGTAACTGCAAGGATTCATACTCTTAGGTTTTTTCGGTAAAGTCACGTGGGAAAAAAATAGGAAAATATTATAATAAATGAAAAATAACTAAATTACATCACAATTGAGTTATTTTTCGTTTATTATAATTTTATAACTTTTCTTACCTACGTAGTTTTACCGAAAAAAACCTAAGAGTATATCAATTATCTGTATACCGATTAAATCTAGTTTAGTTTTATCTGTATATGGATAACACGTAGTTAAGCTGTATCTGTATATCGATAAACAAGATCGTGTTTTCATGTTATCTGTATATAGATGACGAATTAGTTAAGTTGAATATATATTTATACAAACATTTAAATGATGGTTTTACCTTTCCTCTACTTTGCGTGGCGGTGACGCTGATGCTGCCGAGTTGTTGAACTCAGCAGCAGCAGCAGAAGGAGCAGTGCAGATGGAGGGTGGCATGTGATGTCGATCTGAATGTCACTTCTATTTACGATGGAGAAGCGTTACAACGACCCTATCATCGTAAGTCGAAAATATCGTAAGTCGAAGATGGCCTCTAGCCTAGCCAGGAGTCTTACAGGACGGTGGTAATCTAGCAAAACAGAGCAAGTTACAGTAGCGTACTGCATAGACTATATCCTGTGTGTACTTATTAATTACAAGACTGTATTGCACAGTAACATTTAAAGTAAAAAAACCAAGGTAAATTCTTAGCCTACCTATATGAACTGCAAATTAATATGAAGTTTGTTCAGGAAACAATCCTATCTGCTATAAAAATTAACTTTTAGCATGCATTGAACGTATCGTATCGTGGTAACATTGAAATGAAATCGCTAAAGCTACGTATCATAGTGTAGTGTATAGTGTAGTGTATAGCGTAGTGTATAGTAATAGTGTAGTGTATAGTGTAGTGTATAGCGTAGTGTATAGTAATAGTGTAGTGTATAGTGTAGTGTGTAGTGTAGTGTATATTAGTGTGTAGTAGTAAATAAAATCGCTAAAGCTACGTATCATAAATGCATTCACCGTGGCCAATTACAGCCAACGTTAGTTGAGCGTGGACAATTCGACCCAAGCCGAAACATAACATTTACAAAAGAATGTTTTAAAATATTTTTTTTTAGTTTTAATGATATAATATAGTGTTGTCATCAGTATGACGTAAGTATACCAAGTTTGCAGTCGATGCCACATTGGGAAGTGGGTTAAAATTGACTTTCAAGATTTGAGGATACAACAACGACAACAACAACGTGTAAAATTGGAATCATCGAGAGTATCTATATGAACAAGGCGCTCTACCTACAGCATGTACCGCTATAAACCTTGTTCATGTGTAGTAGTACCCCAGTGATTACCATGAACATCGGGTCATTTGTATGGGCTAAGGGTAAAAGTAGGCTCATTGTTTTTCTTACTCTTAGGTTTTTTTCCGTAAAGACACGTTGGTTAAATAATAATAATAAAATAATAATACGTGAAAATAAGTCGATGTATTTTTATTTTATTTTATTATAATTTTTTTATTTTTTTACCAACGTGACTTTACCGAAACAACCCGCTAAGAGTATGAACCCTTGCAGTCACGAAAACTTCAAATCTAGAATCGCTGCTTTCCCTTTAACCTCCACCTTGCCGAGGCCTACACGCACACACTCACCCCCCACTCGCTCGCTCACTCACCCACACAGCAGGAGGATGAGGTGGAGGTGGTGGTGATGAGAGGCTTGCCTGGTGAGGTGTCAGTCCCAGCACCACAGGAATGGTGGAGCAGCAGTAGCCCAGCAAGAACCCAGCCAGCACCCAGCAGCTTGACTGCAGCAGCGTCTGTGTCCAGGGCTCCGTGTAGACTCAGCCCTGGTGACTCAACACGCCCCTTGCCAAGGGCTGGCTCGACTCTGGCGAATGGTCGATGGTTTCCACTGAGCTGTGTGGATTTAAGCTTCACAATCATGGAATGCATTGCTCAATACTCACGTCTAAAGTCAACATCGTGTAGGGTAGACTCTGTCTACTGCTGGATGAGGAGGAGGGGTACAGGGGGGTGCAGGGGGGGCAGTGTTGAATCTATGGGCAGTGTTGAGTCTATGGGCAGTGCTGAGTCTATGGTGCAGTGCTGAGTATATGGTGCAGTGTTGAGTCTATGGGCAGTGTTGAGTCTATGGGGCAGTGCTGAGTCTATGGGCAGTGTTGAGTATATGGGGCAGTGCTGAGTCTATGGGCAGTGTTGAGTCTATGGGCAGTGTTGAGACTATGGGCAGTGCTGAGTCTATGGGCAGTGTTGAGTCTATGGTGCAGTGTTGAGTCTATGGGCAGTGTTGAGTCTATGGGCAGTGTTGAGTCTATGGTGCAGTGTTGAGTCTATGGGTAGTGTTGAGTCTATGGTGCAGTGCTGAGTCTATGGGGCAGTGCTGAGTCTATGGTGCAGTGTTGAGTCTATGGTGCAGTGTTGAGTCTATGGTACAGTGCTGAGTCTATGGGGCAGTGCTGAGTCTATGGGCAGTGTTGAGTCTATGGGGAGTGTTGAGTCTATGGGCAGTGTTGAGTCTATGGTGCAGTGTTGAGTCTATGGTGTAGTGTTGAGTCTATGGTGCAGTGTTGAGTCTATGGGGAGTGTTGAGTCTATTGGGCAGTGAGTCTATGGGCAGTGTTGAGTCTATGGGCAGTGCTAGTCTATGGGCAGTGTTGAGTCTATGGTGCAGTGTTGAGTCTATGGGGAGTGTTGAGTCTATGGGGAGTGCTGAGTCTATGGGCAGTGTTGAGTCTATGGGTAGTGTTGAGTCTATGGGCAGTGCTGAGTCTATGGGCAGTGCTGAGTCTATGGGCAGTGTTGAGTCTATGGTGCAGTGTTGAGTCTATGGGTAGTGTTGAGTCTATGGGCAGTGTTGAGTCTATGGGCAGTGCTGAGTCTATGGTGCAGTGTTGAGTCTATAGGCAGTGTTGAGTCTATGGACAGTGTTGAGTCTATGGTGCAGTGTTGAGTCTATGGACAGTGTTGAGTCTATGGTGCAGTGTTGAGTCTATGGTGCAGTGTTGAGTCTATGGGCAGTGTTGAGTCTATGGGCAGTGTTGAGTCTATGGGCAGTGTTGAGTCTATCGGCAGTGTTGAGTCTATGGGCAGTCTTGAGTCTATGAGGAGTGCTGAGTCTATGGGCAGTGTTGAGTCTATGGGTAGTGTTGAGTCTATGGGCAGTGCTGAGTCTATGGGCAGTGCTGAGTCTATGGTGCAGTGTTGAGTCTATGGTGCAGTGCTGAGTCTATGGGCAGTGCTGAGTCTATGGGCAGTGCTGAGTCTATGGGCAGTGTTGAGTCTATGGTGCAGTGTTGAGTCTATGGGTAGTGTTGAGTCTATGGGCAGTGTTGAGTCTATGGGCAGTGCTGAGTCTATGGTGCAGTGTTGAGTCTATGGGCAGTGTTGAGTCTATGGACAGTGTTGAGTCTATGGTGCAGTGTTGAGTCTATGGTGCAGTGTTGAGTCTATGGTGCAGTGTTGAGTCTATGGGCAGTGTTGAGTCTATGGGCAGTGTTGAGTCTATGGGCAGTGTTGAGTCTATCGGCAGTGTTGAGTCTATGGGCAGTCTTGAGTCTATGGGCAGTGTTGAGTCTATGGTGCAGTGTTGAGTCTGTGGGCAGTGTTGAGTCTGTGGGCAGTGTTGAGTCTGTGGGCAGTGTTGAGTCTATGGGAAGTGTTGAGTCTATGGTACAGTGTTGAGTCTGTGGTGCAGTGTTGAGTCTGTGGTGCAGTGTTGAGTCTGTGGGCAGTGTTGAGTCTGTGGGCAGTGTTGAAACTGTCGGGGTCGCTGGCCCCCGAGATCCCTCCCTCGATAATGCTAACGGCCGGGCTAACATCGTTACTCGCCCCCCCGCTGCTAGGCGAACCGCTGCTGGGTTCCTCACCCATGGGGTGTGAGCCGTCGCTCGAGGATTCCTCCCCAGCGCGGGTCCGCGTCGTAGGCATGGTTAGATACCGAGTAGTATTATGCCCCCTTTACGCTACCACGATACCTCCCTTTCCTAATCGCGCACCTGCAACCCACACGGAGCGAACGTACGCACACCCACACACGCAGCTCCGTACACTCCAACTCAACCCTGACTACTCACGTTATGATCGCGCACCTGTATCATACACGGAGTGAACGCACGCGCACACACGCAGCTCCACACGCGACACCCACTCTCGCGCCGCTCTGTGCAGCGCTCCCACGAGGCGAGCCGCAGCACCACCCGCGTTCACACTGCTCACGAGATCACACGAGGCCACGATTCGCTATTAATGATTTATTATTTGCTACCTGGAACTGGTTGTGGAGTCAGTATGGGTCGACGAGGCTGGCCTATTCTACCACCCCTCTATTTATCGGCTATGATCCTAATTCACCTTGCTACTCACAGTTAGGTGCTCACGGCGGTCCGTTGATCCCTGTGCCAGCAGCGTACCTCGATGCGTCGCACGGACGTCCGGGTCGCTGGACTGGAGAGCGTCCTGTCGCCTGGCGCTGGAGTGAGTCCCGATCTCTCCTTTGCACCCCGTTTTTATCCTCCCTACATCAAAGGGATGCGGCTCTGAGCGGGATGGCGGCCCTCAGCTGTTCCTTAACAATGGGCTCGCGCCCGCGAGCACGTGCACGGCGGTTCCGGGCGCCTTTGATATGCTAATCAATGTGCGGCGTGCGCGGCGTAAATTCTAATTAATCCCTTTCTCACGCAGGCCTTTATTATTGCAGATTATGCGGCGGCGTCCATCACAAAGGCTCGCCGTGGGAATCTGTGTACGGGCCCCCCGCGTGCCTCCCCTCTCCCGATCTATTCATACTTTCAGCCACCGCTGCCACCAGATGTAAAGTAGGAGCCGACACCAGATTGCAGGGGTCTCGTCCTTTATTCCTTTCCTTCCATCCACACCTGTCCCCAGCCGTCCCAATCTCGTTCCCGCCAAAGGCCCCTTCTTCCCGCCCGTTCTCTCCTTATATCTCTTCGATCACCCCTCCCACTAACCCATCTATTGGTGGGAATCCTTCCCCTGACACCCCTACACTAATATCGGAATGAAGAGCATTCCAGAGGACCGCTGAAGTGCACCTAAAATGCGATGACCGTCCTTGTTCGATGGCTTGCCAAAATCCATTGCAAGGATGACCGGAGTTCGCTCTGATTTATGAATATTGATAACATACCAATTGTTTGGCTGTCAAGGGGGTGGCAATTGCCTTCACCCCCCCCCCCCTTGTCCCACCGTCCTTCCTTCCTGATCTGGCACCATTTGTCAGACAGCTGATTGTTTACGAGCTATTCATGCATGTGGGGATGATGGCGCTGCCACGTTGTAATGGTTGGCACACTGGGCCTGCAATCCAGAGGTGACCGGTTCACCCTCACATTTCTTAATGCCCCCCACCCTCACTTCTGCCCGCCCGCAGTATAAATGGCTACACCACAGTCGGTCGATCGGCGGGTCGCGTGTGGCGGAGTAAAGTAGTGTGGCTTATGCCCATCTCCTTTCAACACGAGTCTAGTCGACGTGGCGGAGTAGGCCCCAAAAACTCTCCGTTGTAGTTCGCTCTCGCCAGCGTTGGCGCGATTCGGCACATTTCAGGGTCCGCAATCTTTGCAAAACATTTTTTCCCACTTTACCTCCTATAGACAACGAGCAAAACAAACAAAAAAACCTCGACATAAATTGTCGCGCAGCTTGTGACCGTCGCCAATTCGTGCTCGCTTCCTTTGACGCTCCCAGGCTGGGCGTACCGCTTCCGCGTGGCGGCGCTGAACGCGCACGGCGAGAGCCCCTGGAGCGTCCCCTCCACGCCGTTCTATCTCTCGGGCTCCCCCGGGGGGGCGTCCGCCTCCCAGCGAATGCTCGCCGCCCCCCACATCTCCGCCACGAAGGCCGTGAGCGACACGTCCATTCGCATCACCTGGACCGTACGTAACTATTTCAACGATCGATGACGACGATGACGACGATGATGCCGGAGAGCGCGGTAGTACTTGGTCGTAACAACCGTCTCGTGTCAGTGGTTTGCGGCAGGTTCACATCCCTGTCTGGGAAAGACGGTGAAATGAGTGCCTCATTCGTGGGATGCCAGTTGTCATGTGCAATGACTGGCACCCACCATAGGAATGTTTAAATCCAACCAAGATGTGCTGATTCACCAGAAATGCCCCAAGCTCATCAGAGCAGCGTGGAGTCAAGTCAAAGGTGTGCGGCTGCGCAGTCACTTGCTCTCGCCTCCGCTGTGTTTGGTCTCCTCTTTCACGCCGACCCGATGTCTCGGAAGAGTGTTGGAGTACGCACACTTTACCCCCACCACTTGGTACTTGCTGATCGTCTAACTGTGGGGTTCCCTGTTTAAACTGCTGGGAGGACAGAAGCAGGTTGGGGGAATTTTAGAAACTTGCTCGATTTGTTTCTCACTGTTGTGCCGGGAGACGGAGCAATAATTCTCAAGTAGAATGTTGTGTGTGTGGATGTTGAACTTCTTTCGCACCGTACGTAGCCAACCGTGATAATCGGAGGTGCGATTCATGATGATGAGAGTGGTGCGAGGATGATTGAAAAAGTGGTAGTAATGGTGGTGATTATGGCGCTGACACGTCACAATGCCGACGACGACGAGGATGATCACGCTGATGGTCGTGACCCCCCCCACCCCGCGCGCTCGTCGTGCGCAGTTTCCGTCTGCCGCAGCTCCGGCGCAGCCCGTGCAGAAGGTGACCGTCTACTACCGCCCCACCGACTGCGACAACGAAGAAGACTACCACAAGAAGATCCTGCACGGTGAGCGCCTCGGCGGCACCCGGCACGAGCCACCGCCGTCACATCGGCTTAGAGCTCTGCGGGATGTTTAGAGTTTGAGGGACGTCACGTGTGAGCGGCCCTCGCGCTGTGCAAGTTGTACGCAGGTGAACGCCGTTCCAGCTACAGACGCAGCCTTCCTCGGTTTAGTGGCCTCAGGTCCGACGCAAATTCGCAGTAAAAAAACAGCGCACAAATGCGCGCCGCTCGTAAGCAGTCAGAAGGTGCGGCTTCCCCGTCGTGCCGTGCACGCGTGTCATGTGACCGCCGCTGTCAGCCTTGTCGAGGCTGCCAGCTCAGGAGAGCTTAACGTGGTGGGGCCGTACAGTTGTTTAGATCGCCAACTCGAATGTGAAATGTGGCCGTCCCCTTTTGTTGGCATGGGTTTTCTCATAATTTATAGAAAGCGTTGTAAAGAGAGCACATGCATTAGTATAACGGTCTGAGTTGTATGACGTGTGCATTGTGGGTACTTACCACAGTCATTTGAAAAATGAATGTAATGTCTTTCAGATTTCTGTTTGTGTATGTTGTCCGAGCTTGCACTGTGGGGAGCGGTGGTGCAGCGGTTAGCGCGCTGCACGATGAACCCTCTGCTCACGGCCAACACCAGTGACAACTATCTGAACCGGTCCTGGGCCTCCCCTAGGTCAACTCAGCCTCAAATGAGTACCTGGTGCGGTGTGTAAACATCGCCACTAGGGAGAAAAAGGCGGTTGGGAGTGGTGCTGGCCACCCACCCGCTCATGTGCCGTGCCGGCCTTCATAGGTGCTACTCGCTAGCAGCACTTGCCCCTACAATCTGTTAAGGCCATTTTGGGGATCGTTGTCTTTATGTCTTTGTCTAGCTTGCACTAGAATTCAGATTAATTTGTTTAACCAGGTTAGAGCTCAAGAGACCAAGCATAAACCCATTTGCAATATAAAGTACAGCAACGAAGCACGTGCAAATCAGAGCAAACGAAACACGTCTACGGAAGACGTAGAGAATACTGCACGAACATAATTTGCTGTTCAAGAGAACAAGTCCCCTGTAACTTTCATTCCGAAACAAAGACTAAACCAAACTTAACATTTTATCAGGTAAGGCCCATTGAGCTACATAGCTCAATGAAGTGGCCAGCGACCTGACCTCAAATGATGGCTCAACGAAGTGGTTTATCATGTGGGCATTTACAGCAGCCAAATACTCTAAATGCATGTTTCCAAATGTCGAGGGGAAAAAACCCGAGGACCTGGAGAATGATCCACGCAACCATGGGGAGAACATGCAAACTACAAATATGTCGGCGTCAGGGTCGGGATCGAACTCACGACCTCCTCTATACCAGGTGAGGTAGCTAACATCTCGCCATCGAGATGCTCATAGTACAATCACGTTACAGGAGCGTGAAGATATGTCACACCGTAGCTGATTGCATCCTGCAGCTGATAAACACGTGGCGTGCCGCGTGAGTCACGCGGTCACGCGTTGGTCGAATTGATCCACGATGCGGCTCGGCCGTAACAGCTGCCGTTCGCCGTGTCACCCCAGGGAGCAGAGACTGGCACGTGCTGAGCGGACTTCAGCCGGAGACGTCGTACGACATCAAGATCCAGTGGTTTAGCACGGCGGGAGAGAGCGCGTTCAGCAACGTCATGATCTGCGAGACGAGAGGTGGGCGAGTGCGGTGTCCGTCGTGTTGTCTTCTCATCGGGGATGGACCTCATTTTAGTCGAAGTCAACATAGTGGAGGCAAAAGTCAGTTTCTGACCAGCAACAGAATCAGACCCGAGTCACTGAGATTGTAATGTACGGTATTGCATTTACTATCGGGCATTCAATGATCCCCTTCCTGGAAATTCTATGAAATGTTCACAATTTGGGGGTCACGGTTTCTGTAAAACAGTGTTGTTATTTCGGTAAATGTATCACTTCTAGTGGTTGCAGAGTTTACGATGAGCCAATTAAATACAACATATACGAATTTAAAAGAATCAAATCTCTCACACGCAATTTGATCATTGTATCATGATTGTGAGAATCAATTTAAATCGAATCCATGCATCGTTACACGCCTGTGAAACATCACACAAACCTTGGTCTCCAGGACAGCGGCAACATGCGCTTATCACCTCTCCACACACAGGCAAACACCAGACACAAAAAGCATGCCCATTCACACACCAATCACCAACAAACTAATCTCATCGTCCGTCCTAAATCACAACCATAAACGCATTTTCTTTTCTTTCGTAAAACGCAAATGCACCGATCTGTTCTTTTTATTGTTGAAAAAAACAAACCCCTTTGCTTTTATTCTTCCCCCCCTCCTGCCTCATCAGCAACAGCTCTGGCCTCGTCTCATTAGGCTTCACAGGCCAGCGTTTGTTTAGCAAAAGAACCGTCCCCTGGCCAAAAAGAAAAACGCAAACCACATGGTGGCTGCTTCCTAACGTGGCCGCAATGCTCGTGCACCGGGGGGGGGGGGGGGTGATCGAATGTCTCGTGGCAGCGCTAACGCCGCCGCCGCCGGCTCTGGCTACAAGAGACACACACGCACAGAGTCATCGGTAATGGCGCAAAGGTACAATGGACCGGGGCCATAAGCGACTGGAGTTGAGTCCGGCTCTCTCGCTGCACTGCGGAAGGGTGAGGCAGTGTTCATTTCTCTTCGAGGCCATTATTGCCATCCAGCAGTGGATATTCTACGATAATATGCTACGGGCCCGGTTTCTATACATGGCAGCTACTAGTGGAGTCTCTCAAATTGGTATGGAGTGTATCGACCCTCGATGGATGATGGACGGAGTTAAGGACCCAGCCCCGCTCCCCTGAGGCAAGCACTCTGCCGCAGTGGCATCTGGCTGGATAACAGATAACTTTGACAGCAAACACTCTCATGGTGCTGATGCTGGTCAAGATCAAGATCAAAATATGCCATCGTGGCCAAAGCAACAATGGTACCAGGCCTAACCAGAGCTTTCTACCCTCCGCCAGATGGTCGTAACCATCGTGACGACAGATGAAGATGATGATCAATAATGTCATTTCTGTATTATATTATCACCATCACTACCATGAACATAATAATCGCCACCACCTTTGGCGCCATCACTTAGATCCAGAATTTAGACCATATTCAGCCAACACAATGGGCAGATATCTTGTTGTGATGCTGGATCATGAGAGAGATAGTCCCGCCAAGATTTCACCCGCAGCGGAGATGTCTAAAAGGAATATTTCTTGGCAAGCACACAATGTGCCTGCTGGCAATGTGTACGAGTCCAAAAAATGATCAATGCAACGCATTGTTTTAATTAATATAGAGCTTTATGAAGGCTGCCACATTTTTGGGGCATTACGAACAGGGCATCAGTGTTCCATGGAGGCATATTTTTAAAGCAACAAAAAAAAAACGCTTGAAGAGGAAGCTGCGAGCTTTTCCTGCACCGCTGTTTCACCGTGCATGAGCCACGCTAAGCTACACCGGTGCCATGGCAGGTAACCGCCACGCTCTCCCTACGTTTTTTAAAAGCTGAGCATATTCGCACACGTAATAACAACAAAAACACGCATTCGTCAACAACACCATAGCCTGAAAAAGAAAAAGGGCTATGATGGGCGATGTTTGGGGCATTTTCCCTCCTTCACAGCACACACAGCGGACCAGAGAGGTGGAGTGCATAAGAGTTGGAGACATCACTTCATACGACATGCTTTGGGTTGTATATATCGCCTATACACTTGACTTTAAATGTTGACGGCTACAGTGTTATTGACAAATGTGTTGCGTTGTTTGCTATTGTGCTTTGGGCGCCACTGCCGATGCACTATGAACAAACAATCTGTTCTATTTGTGCACGTGCAGTTTGATGGCTCAAGCCAATACACTGTCAGGGCCAAAAGTGTTTGAATTTTTTTGCTAGACGTTATATACATGCTCTCTCCCGGGCTACACGGCATTATTTAAGTACATTAATGAACGAGCCAAAACTTGTTTTTATTTTTAACCTTGGTCATCACGAGTGAGCTCACTCAAGCAGCATTTGCATTACACGTGGCCTCCGTGTTTAAAGGACAGGCATATTGTGACTGGCAACTGACAGACACCAGGGAATTACCCCGTAGAGCCCTGAGACAAAGACATTCTATATTTCTTCTACCAACGTCTGTACATAAATCAACCATTGGATGCACTTAGGCACAACTCGATAATCTTCTCAGTCAGGTCGGTATGTTTTCCCAGATAAATTAACGTAGAAATGATTAAAATGCAAAGTTTTTATACATGACACTTACATGTATTGTTCACGATCATGTAAAATTTTTCCCATTATTTAAATGTATCATTGCTAATGCGGTGTATCCGTCAAGTTGAGAGTCTTTTTTGTATCTCACTTTCCTTTTCGTTTAATTCCCCCAACGCTTTTCTACATCTGCATTGGCAGTGGTGCACGACAACAAATAATGCAAACTACAACACATTCCTCCGTCACACTGCGCAAAGGACACAGCATAACGTACAATAAGTGATATTTCTAACAATTGCGATTAACCTTCCTCATAGCAAATATAAAAACATTTTTACCAATAGATCTGACTGTTTTTTATACAAATAAACCATAATTTTCTTTCGAAAAAAACCATCCATTGCTGCATAAGCACACGAGTGCCATTTATCCCACGATGGGCCACAGCACTGGCTGCAATGGGAATTCGTGAGGGTTAGGTGACGATTGCCAATTCCCCAAATCACAAGTGCAAAGTGAAATGTTGCAGCATTCAAATTAGCACTCCTATTAAGTCATTTTCACAAGACAAAAAGCACCAGCGTGCTACTAAAACACACTCGCATACACGGAGAAAATGACCTCACGATGCCGTTGTTTTTGGGAATTGTCGATATCGAGCTGTGATTGCAACCGTTAGCGGTGGGTTGCGAATCCACTGAACGTTGTAATTGTGGTCAAGAAGCGTTTTACAGCTGGTACGATCACTGGTATGCCTCTGGACATTACAGTTCCTGACACTGGTAAGCAGATGGAAATGTAATTCTCGACAGAGGCATTAAGCTCACAGCTTTCACCAGATTACCCCGGCTCTTTTACACCTCCTCAATCCCATTTCTAACGTCTTTTGGAATTCTATTGGG